ACACACACACACACACACACACACACACACACACACACACACACACACACACACGCACGCACGCACGCGCGCGCGCGCGCGCGCACGCACACACGCACGCACACACACACAGCTGTTTGTTTGCTCTGAAAGAATTTGGCCTTCTTCCAGAGCCTCTGACTGTCAGAAGTCAGAAAGAATGAGAAGCAGAAGGAGTCCAGCATGAAGGAGGAGAGGTTTTAAAGGAGGCAGGAGGGGAGACGTTTTGGCTCAGGTCAATGATTATACAACATTTTCTTTTTGTTTTATTGAATGACCTCATGCACACATCTCTTCCACAATAGTCTCATTTCCTTTACCCCCTCATTCTCTGACTCAAACAACACCATTTGTTGAAGCGTCTGTGGCAGATCTTCCTCCCACTCCCGTCTCTGAGCTGCGTCTTCAGTAATCCTCCATCCTCTGAGGATCTGCAGACATATGGACAAGAACCTTCTTGGACTTCTTGTGTCTCCTTTGTGGAAACACATGCTGTCTTTTCTCTTTGCTCCTGCCGGTCTCGCCTTGACCCCCACCCCCAGCCCCCACGCCTCCTCTTTCTGTCACCAATCAATAAGCTGGTCAACAGGCTGTGTGACACATTGTCTGCTGTGAGCTGCATGAAAAGCTTGTGTCAATAATATTGGTGCACGATTGAATTCAGTCTGTGACTTTTAGCTGTGCCAGGTGGAGAAATGAGGGAGTTCAGGAAGTGAGGTGGGGTGAATCGGAGCAGAGGCTCGCTGTCAGCTGTCACAGAAACACACTCGCTCCGAATGGTTTCTCTATTCAGAGTAACTGGGTCTGTCAGGGACTGAATGAGCAGACCCTTCATCACTAAAGACTTTACTGAGCTCTGAAACAGTTCAGGGGTCTCATTTATAAAGGATTGCGTGGAAACCATACTAAAAGTGAACGTATGGCCAAAAGGTGGAAATGGCGTACGCCAAAAAAAATTCTGATTTATAAAACAGTGCGTACGCACGTTTCTGCGCTTCTTTCCTTTATAAATCACAGCCGCACGTCAGAGTTTGCGCACAAGGTCCCGCCTCAGGTTCTACCCTCTACACGCCCACATTCAACCATAAACAGTCAATGTAAAGTACCTCATGAATGTTAAGATGTATTTAAATCAGTCAGATGATCAGTGATTGGTTCAGACACGCTCCATCGTGAGTCTGGAGGATGACAGGTGCTGACTGACAGCTGCTCTCATGAACAGAATGTCTGTAAGTCACACAGATTTTCCCTCATTTTGCTTTACAGTAATCTAACGATTTTTATAAAAAAAAATACTCAGCTTCAAATTAATTTTCTCTCAGAGCCTGCAGGAC